TTTCTTCCCGATATCCAATCTAAATCTACCTGCTTTCAATTTAAAGCCATTAAATGCCACCAAGTCCAACTGGGCCACCCCAAAGGACAGAGATCAACCCCTGAGGACCCCCTTTTAAAGCAAGAAGACCAACTGAAGATCCATCCTCCACCCTTATCCAGCTCAAACTTAGACCGTGTTCTCCCTGTGCAGTGAAAATAACCCTTTTCCATGAGAGGAGGACCAGCTGCTTGAAATCCTGTCCACTGGAAATAACTCGGTTCAAAAAGTAAAGAAGGGGCAGATCTGTAGGTTAGGCAGCAGGCAGGTACCCAGGGAGAAGGGCTCACCCCTCATCTCCCTATTTTTTCATGGGACTGAACAGTCTGTCTCCATCCTGCCCTTTACCCAAACTTCTGAGCATTGAGGCTCTTCAGCGTACAGCCTGCCGTACCGCCTCCGCTTGCACAAACCCTACAATATCAGCTGTAAAATTACATTATAGTCCAATTTAGGAACAATTTTTTTCCTGTCCAGATGCTACTGACTTCAACAGCAAGCCATCAGGCTTACCCGTTCTCTCCGTTTCACTTTTCCAGCTCCTCTACAGTGCCACTTCCCTCCACCTCAGAAGGTATTTTGTAGGCTTGGTGGCAAATTGGGATTTGGATTAGGATTCATAATTTGTTTAGGTCTTGATGACTCTCCCTTCTGGTCAAAGCTGCACTAGGGACGTTAGAATTCCCAGCAGTTCCGTGCGCACGTCCGTTTTTTAAATCGCCCAGCTGCCGTTCCCACTCGAAAAATACAATTTTGGTAAGATCAGTGACAGGGAGCTTCTGCTCCTGAACTGCTGGCCAGAGGCTACAAGGGGGAAATACCCCCATCTGCACAGACACGCTTTTACTGTATCCCTTGGGAATATTCTAACTCTTCGAACTGAAGCACTCTGGAAACTAGACAGTCACTATTTAATTTTCAAGCTCATTTCCCAGTCACAGCATCGCAGTCATTCTTCGGTTACACCCCCTACCTCCCCCTCGGAAAAGAAAACAAGGCCAAGTCTGAAATCCTACAAGCCAACCCGCAGTCATCGCAAGAAAGCAGCGTAACAGAGAAACATACCCATGATTAACAACGTAAGGGTTCGGGGTTGGGGTTTTTTCATTTACCTGAGTGATCTGGACACCTATGGAAACATCATTCTTCTCCTTACCCCGAATTCAACCAAAAAAAGCCTTTTTTTTTTTTTTTTTTCTGAGGAGCCTTTCTCAGGCAACGTGACTTTTTCAAACGTGCCTGTTTACGCTCCGTTTGAACCATACCTTGGGGGACAACGTATGGGAATGAGGGTGTATTTGCTGTTGTAGCTAAATCTACGTCAGGCTGCCCAGGGAAGAAGCAGCTGAACTTGCAACATAACAGACTTTTATTTCTTTGGAAAAAGCATCCCAAAACTTTTTCTTACTTAGCAAGACAAAATTTGGCAGGAAGTTTTGTTCTTGACCCACAACTAACTACACTCATTCCAAGAGATGGATGGAGGGATTCCACAGGCGGAAACGTTTCTGTGGGTGTTTTCTTTCCCTCCCCCTGAACTGCAGGTACTGAGAAAGAATGAAAATCAGAGGAGCACCTACATGTGATTCTGACCTTCCTTAGAACAGAATTAAGGCTCCAACTAGCTACCAACGAATAAATACTTGAGCCTGAAGCACTTTCTGAGCTTCAACACATCCCCTCAGGGCTTGAATCCTGCAGATCTTCCTTTGAAGAGAAGCTCTTCAAGGTAATAACCCCCGGCCATTTGATGGTTTGACCCCAGTGCTCAGATCTGAAGACTTCAAGGGATTTGTGGCTGTAGGATAAAGCAGAGAGCACTTTCAGCAGCTGGATGGGAAACGACAGCTGGGCAGCTGAAAGGAGACACCAGCTACGACCACCCCGGGCACTGGCTGGGCAGCCCACGAGGCACTCGAAGGTGAACAGAGCAAGTACCAGATCACCTCTGCCCCAGGATTTTGTGCCAAACAAAATCGGAGTTAACAGCGGAACTGGAACTCACCAAAAGGTTTGGTTTTTTTTTTTTACATGAAGAGAAGGCTCCAGGGAGACCTTATTGTAGCCTTCCAGTACCTGAAGGGGCTACAAGGAAGCTGGGGGGGACTTTTTACAAGGGCCTGTAGTGACAGAACAAGGGGTAATGGGTTTAAATTGAAAGTGGGGAGGTTTAGATTAGTTATCAGGAAGAAGTTCTTCCCGGAGAGGGTGGTGAGGCACTGGAACAGGTTGCCCAGAGAAGCTGTGGATGCCCATCCCTGGAAGTGTTCAAGGCCAGGCTGGATGAGGCTTTGAGCAACCTGGTCTAGTGGAAGGTGTCCCTGCCCGTGGCAGGGGGGTTGGAACTAGATGACCTTTAAGGTCCCTTCCAACCCAAACCATTCTGTGATTCTCTGATACATTTTGAAAGACAAGGCTTTTTAAAAAACACCTCAGAAGCTGAGCTGTTAGTCCCTGTGGAAAACAGATCCTGGTTTCCAGTTCCAATCCTACATGGAAAATAACTGTAAACAAAGGGGAAACTGTTTATAAAGCGAGCAGCTCTGTCTCCAGCCATCAGTTACACTGAGTTCAGGTGTTGCTTGCAAAGCCACAGGATTAAATAATCCTGATTGCTAGGAACTGTAAAATAATACATTCCTTGAAGCACCGAATGTTAACTTTCTTCCACTTTGCCTCCTGGGACCAGCTGCCCTGCCAGCTCTGCTGCTTTTGTTCAAAGATATTTGTCATACTCAGAGGTTCTTGGAAAAAGTTATGCTGGGAGCAGAGGTGTAGAACACCCCAGCCTGCTTTTTAAGAACTCACAGCCACGCTGCAGTTTTACAAAAACAAGTGAACTCCTAGGCGAGTATAAGCAGCACAGTAGAAAACTAATCATGGATACAGCATCAATACTGAAAGCATGGGGCTCTTCCCCAGAAAATGCACCCCGAGCTTCACAGTTTTCCAACACTGGTGAAGAAAATTCAGCAGTTAACAACGCACAACCCTCCGAGAGATAAGGCTGGAGATTCCTCAGTTATCAAACTGTGCTTGTGTGCTCCTCAGACGGTGGGTCGGCTTACACCGCGAGGCTAAAAGACAAAAGCTTTGAGGGGGGAGGTTAGAGACAGGATCTGCAAATGCTGTGGTTGAGCTGAACAATGCCAACAAAACCCCCTCAAATACAGCCGCAGCCCGGAGCTACACGGCCCCTCCAACTCTCCCCTACGGGAGAGCGCTCCCGGAAGACAGGGCTGAGCACACCTACGCGTTACGCAGAAGTCTGAGAGGGATGTTCCTCCCGGGGCGGAGAACAACTGCCTGCAGAGGTGAAGCAGAGCCCACCCAACCCCAGCCACCCTTACTCTGCTCGAAGGACACAAACGATGGTATCGTGCACTTAACAGTCCCCATGAACGGGCGTTTCAACTACGTCTCCCCCCCTTCCAGCACAACCGCACGCTCACTGGCTCACCTTGGCACAGTGATGATATCCTGCAATACTGCCAGACCGATGTATTTTATTGTTGCCATGACAACTACTCTGTTAGGTCAGACCTCGAGCAGCAGCTGGCTTCTCTGCTGCCAGACTGAGACAGCTCTTAACGACTTTTTCCTTCTAAATACGTCCCCTACGTACCACGATTTTAGCAGCTGTAATTTAAAGGAGAAATTACAAACTGCACCCATTTTGCTGCTTCCCAAGAATCATTACTGTCATGAGGCAGGTAGCACAAGTAACACAAACACATACTCCTCCAGGAGCTCACATGACCTTCGGCATGCTGAAAATCTCGCTTCCAAGTAAATACGGGTATTAGCTGTTGGCATCACTACACCAGGCGTAGCTTAACGGAAGGGTGGAAGATACAGCTAACAAAAGCTTTTCCAGGCCACTAGAGCCATGCCCAAACATTTAAACATTGTGTGTTCTTGAAAAGAAGGTCACATACAAACTAACAGCTTGAAAACAGCAAGAGTGCAATAAAACAGTGTCTGTGAGAATCACCGAGACTGAGCCTAACACAGGCCAAGAAAAGGGCCAGGATTTAACATGAACAGATCCGAGTTCTGCCACCACAGCCTTCTAGGCAGAGAGCTAACTATTACATTTTGCAAATGCCAAGTTCATCACTTGGCCAAGATTTCCGATGCAACTGAGGTGACAGAAGGGGTGAGGGGGTGAAGATCCCTTCACAACTGAGACGCCTTTCAGTCATTCATATTTTATACCATTCCATTAGAGGTTAAAATAGACATTTAAGAAGTAAACAAAGCGTACTATGGTACCTTTTTAACACTCTTTTAATAAAAACACTCACCTGCAACTTTCTGACAACGCTATTGCCAATGAAGCGCACACACAGACCTGGCTTCGCGGCCACGGCACAGCGCTGCAAGGGGTTATTAAAACAGGAGGAAAACGGCCCCGTCGTTCCACCGAGCATTTCCCTCTCCACGTTCTCCCCCGCACTACACCGTGTTACCCCAGAAGGGCTGAGCCAAGAGAGCCCAGAAAGCAGGGCGGCTAAGAACCTGGAGCACCACACCGTAACATGGTCGACAGGGAGAAGAAACTAAAAAGGAAGATTATTAACGAAGTTTCTAACAAGCTATTAAGAAGTGAGTCCAGGCTGCTACACAAAGGATAGCTCTTCTCAGCTCACGCTGCTTATCAATCAAACCCCAACTCCCCACCTCTGCTCACACCGACATTTGTGTAGGTTGCTGAAGTGACAAACCGCCATCGTTACAAATCCAGGCTGTTCTGGAAAGCAATTTAAGCAATTAGCAGTATTTATTGCAACCCAGCTTCTCTGTTCTACCAGGTACAAGAAGGCCACTAAACACACGTAAACATAAAAGCATTCATGAAACACCAACTGATTTAATTAAAACTGAAAAGGAAAACAGACTGAAGGAATGAAAACTCCAGATACCTAGCAATTATTAATTTTGAAGCCGTTGGTGATCTTGGAAAAGCACTTGGAAATTCATGACCAAATATTCCACCTTGAATTCTGAGGGAGAGGGAGGGAACAACCACGACTTTCCAAGTCCTCCAGCACTGCCGCACATAAAACTGTACTACTTGATGTATTTTTCCATGAACTTCTTGTGAAATTCTGATCGCAGAGTATCATTCACGAATCTTTTGTCCTTTTTTGTTTCGTCTATCCCCTTGGCACAATTCTTGAAGACGACATCATCATCCCATCTGAAAACGACACGTTTTTTAACTTCAGTAAGTTTGTATGAAAATTAGGTGCAACTTAAAAAAAAATATATATAAATGAATGGCTGTAATTTTGATAAAGATAACAGTAACCGGAATATCTGCAAACGAGAATTACATTCGGAAAAAGGCTGGCATTGCCAACCGTATCCTGGGCTGCATCAAGAGAAGTGTGGCCAGCAGGTCAAGGGAGGGGATTCTGCCCCTGTACTCTGCTCTGGTGAGACCCCACCTGGAGTGCTGCGTCCACCTGTGGAGCCCTCAACATCAGAAGGATATAGACTGGTTGGAGCGAGTCCAGAGGAGGCCACGAAGATGCTCAGAGGGCTGGAGCACCTCTGCTATGGGGACAGGCTGAGAGAGTTGGGCTTGTTCAGCCTGGAGAAGAGAAGGCTCCGGGGAGACCTTATTGCAGCTTTCCAGTATCTGAAGGGGCTACAAGGAAGCTGGGAGGGGACTTTTTACAAGGGTCTGTAGTGACAGCACAAGGGGTAACAGGTTTAAATTGAAAGTGGGGAGGTTTAGATTAGATATCAGGAAGAAGTTCTTCAACCAGAGGGTGGTGATGCACTGGAACAGGTTGCCCAGAGAAGCTGTGGATGCCCCATCCCTGGAAGTGTTCAAGGCCAGGCTGGATGAGGCTTTGAGCAACCTGGTCTAGTGGAAGGTGTCCCTGCCCATGGCAGGGGGGTTGGAACTGGATGATCATTAAGGTCCCTTCCAACCCAAACCATTCTGTGATTCTATGATTTATTAACGTTAAAAACTCATAAAGACACAAAACCCACAACCCAGCTAAATTTTATAGGGGAGCATAACATCAAATTTCGTGAGGAACTTTGGTCCTGTTACTTTTTGTATCATTATGACCAATGTCAGGCAAACCCTATTCCCAATTTCTCTCTTTCTGAAGCAGCAGGATGGTATCATCAGAGAAATGCACAAGACAATCACTACATGCATCAGCACCCCAACTCTGCATTACAGTGCCTGTGACAAGACCTGAGGAAGGAAATAAAACCCAACAGCAGTGATGACATTTGCAGACTAAGTAGCAAGAGGGAGCAAGGGGATGGGTATCACAGCACAGATTGCACGGTACCTCCTCTTCACTTTGAAGTTTGCTTGAGGCTGTGCTGGGCCGGTAAGGTTGAGCAGCGGGTTACCACTCAGAATGTTCTCCATCCGAATTCTTTCTTCTTCAGCCTTTTGCTCTTGTTCCTGAGAACCAGAAATGGATACATTACTTTTCTGGACCGTTTTCCTCATCTAGCTGGCAGACATAAACACTGTTCAGCTGCCAACACCCACACAGACAGAGCTTTAATTCCTAGTTCAGACTTTTCAGAGTGTTTGACATGCGTATGAGTAGAATAAGGATAGAAGCAGAAATACTCTAAAGAGCTTAACATTGCTAATAAACTGCTAGTCTAGCAACACTCATATCTGCTTCTACTTATGTCTGATGTTCCACCAAATATTCAGCTAGATTCTAGCTTCACCATTTACATATTTATTATATTAAAAACTTCATACAGGTGGAAGGATTTTTTTTAATACTCATGAGAAAAAAAGAATACTCTATACACTATTAATTCACTAGATGGAAGAAACCTTACAGCATATTGAAACTTCTCTATCATCTTTAGCAATCTGCTTGGGTTTTACAGCAACAACTTCCCTAGGGACCAGTTAAAAAGACGACTGAGAAATTTAAGATGAAACTGAGCAGTGGGTGACATAAGACTATTTAAGAGTTCCAGTATCAAGGAGCAGGAAAATGTTCTTCTCCTTGTACTGTCAAAAGCATGCAACTCAAGCTGAAGTGAAGCACGGCACTACAGGCAACACAAGAGGATCTCACTGCCCATGCTTCCAAGCTGCATTAATATATTTAGTGACTTATATTTTCACAGACTTCAAAATGGGTATGTAATACTTGTTCTACATGAACGTATTTTTCCACAACTTTCAGATGTATGACAAGGACTGTGAGGGACTTTTTACAAGGGCCTGTAGTGACAGGACAAGGGGTAACGGGTTTAAATTGAAAGTGGGGAGGTTTAGATTAGGTATCAGGAAGAAATTCTTCATGGAGAGGGTGGTGAAGCACTGGCACAGGTTGCCCAGAGAAGCTGTGGATGCCCCAGCCCTGGAAGTGTTCAAGGCCAGGCTGGATGAGGCTTTGAGCAACCTGGTCTAGTGGAAGGTGTCCCTGCCCATGGCAGGGGGGTTGGAACTAGATGGTCTTTAAGGTCCCTTCCAACCCAAACCATTCTGTGATTCTATGGCTGTTCTTTGACGAAAGTACCAGAAGTGATATATTACTAAAACTATCTACAACTGACGTTTTTCAATTGGCTTGATGAGTTATGTGGAATAGCCCTGTAAAACACCCCAACCCTCTTAAGAACAATACCAACTTCACACGCATGCGAATACCAGACGATGCAGGATCACTGGTTAAAGATTTTACCTTTCAAAAATCTACTCAAGTTTTAGTTATGAAAAAAAATACCATTACACTGCTGCTCACAAATAAAATTTAGAACCAGCTGCAATTAACTGCCAGTGGGATGGGAAAAGCTCCTGAAAAGGGCACGTTGCGTAGAAGCATGCCACAGCCCTGTATGTCCTTACTAAAACACGCGCGTAGGCAAGACTTGCCCTTGCTGCTGTATCCGCGGAGCGTCAACAAACTGCAGCAGTGAAGTCTTTCACACAAATAATCTGAAATTCTGCATTTTCAAACAGGATTCTCAATCCAACATCTGCATTCCAACTTCAGTTATTACCACCTCAGTAAATATGGAAACAGACAGCAAAAATATTTGTTGTGGAACAGCTATTTCCCCCATATTAGAAATACAAATGATACATTTCATTCCCCTGTGGATTACAGGCAAGAAAGGAATGCAGCTGCTTCTGCACAGCATGCCAACCTCTGATTTACCATCTTCTCTCCCTGTAACACGGGGGAGCCAACAGCAGTGAAAGCTGACTTGCTGCCGTCGCTGCCGTGTTCCCACCAGCGGCTCTCAGACTGCAGAGCACCGATCTGAAACCAAGCGAAATCGAAGGTACCGGTACCAGCAAATTAAAACCAAAATCAGTGCCGACTTCCAGGTGCCTCCTGCGAGGCGATCAGATCCTGCTGAAAATTTACAAGAGGACGCAAGCATGTGAAGCGTTCTCTGCGTTGTCCAAAACGAGGTGGGCTCTGCCTACATTTCATCTCTGGTGCTCCGTTAAAAGTCAGGCTTTGAAAAAACATGAGGTCTGGGACAAACGTTAAAAGCAAGTAAGAATGATATAAACCAAAAATTCATACTGGACTACTGAAGGGAAGCTAATAAGAGCGCTGTAAAGAGGACGCAAGCATGTGAAGCGTTCTCTGCGTTGTCCAAAACGAGGTGGGCTCTGCCTACATTTCATCTCTGGTGCTCCGTTAAAAGTCAGGCTTTGAAAAAACATGAGGTCTGGGACAAACGTTAAAAGCAAGTAAGAATGATATAAACCAAAAATTCATACTGGACTACTGAAGGGAAGCTAATAAGAGCGCTGTAAGAAACTGATACTCCACCGTCGACAAATGCTTTCGTAGAGAGAAATTCTTCCAAGTCCTGTATGTGCAAGCAGAGCCGGCAGTTTTCTGTTTCAGAGCTGAACTCCAGGGGAACTCTTCTCAGGGTGGCGTGCAGAGCACGGCACAGTCTCGCCCTCAGATTTAAGAGACATTAACCTCAGCTGTGATCCCCATGGATCACGGGTGCCCCATCCCTGGAAGTGTTCAAGGCCAGGCTGGATGAGGCTTTGAGCAACCTGGTCTAGTGGAAGGTGTCCCTGCCCATGGCAGGGGGGGTGGAACTCGATGATCTTTAAGGTACCTTCCAACCCAAACCATTCCATGATTCTGTGATACCAAATTACTGAACCTGTCCATCATGCACTGCTTTATCTGGGGCACACAAATGTAACATGCTGGGGTTTGTTTTTAATGCTGCATGAAAACGCATCCCCACACCACTGAAATGCAGAACTACAATGCACTCCACACAGTGTTGATTCCATGGTCAATTGACCACTGGAATCAGTCAGCATTTTTTTTGGGGTGGTGGGGATGGTGGAATTACAGTTCTCCACTCTCTTCACTGTTTCAGATTTAATCTCAACAGCTCCTAAAAAGCTGATTGTTCCAGCATTTTCTACCATGCACGGAGAGAAGTGAAAAGCACTCAGACACTTGAATCACTAGTACATAAAGTCAATATTAAAAATCATTAAAAAATATGCATACAGTAGCAACTACTCCAGTATTCTTATTTCACACAGATGCACATTTAATTTTTCTATAATAAGATTTTGAAAAGACATGTTAGGCATCATCCTAATTTCTCTCTGCTTTACATAACCCCTGCAATATCCTTCAGCCTCAACCAGCCTGACACAGTTGGCTTTCTGATAATGAAAAAAGCATTATTAAAGTGACAGTGTGGTGATAGAAAAAGAAAAAAGAAGAAAATAAAAATGGAAATAACCCTTTCAAGAAGCATTACACTACAAGCAGTAGTACAAGACTGAGAGCAGGATGTAGCTCCAGATTATGTCTCCATCTAGGTATCTGCTTGTAGGCATCGGAGCTCACATCTCTGCAGAGATCTAGGGAATACAATGAGGAGTTATGAGCTCTCCTGCTCACACTGAATTACATACACAGGAGACCAGCCATGCTCCAGGCTCTCCTCATTGCATCCCTGCTGCACCACCATGGGAGCTGAGACACAACTTCTACACTGACCCCAATGACTTGGTATTTCGAGTTCAACTGAATTCTGGCTAAAATTTCTAATTGCTAGCAAAAAACTGCATTGAGTCAAGTCAACTACAATCGAGGACTGAAGAGCAGCAAAAATTGCACTAGAATCAAAAGAACTCGTAGGGACAACGTTGGGAATTTGCAATGATTCCATTCTACTTTTGCCCCTATTCAGTTATTAGAAACAACTATGAACACTATGCCAACAAAAGCTGTCAAACGCACTTTTATAGTGACAACAGTTACAGAAGACATCCAGGAGTCTGATTTTCTCAGCCTGCTTTTCCCTATCGCCTGCCAGAGATGCGTCAGGGCACTTGTGCGGCCACTCGCGGTCTCTCAGCTCTGGTCACAAACAGAACTCTGCCGTCTTTGAGACCCGCACAGGCAGCACAACCAGAGGTAGTAACAAACCGCATGAGCCGGCAGTGTGTGCTGGCAGCCCAGAAAGCCAACCGTATCCTGGGCTGTATCAGAAGTGTGGCCAGCAGGTTGAGGGAGGGGATTCTGCCCCTGTACTCTGCTCTGGTGAGCCCCCACCTGGAGTGCTGCGTCCAGCTGTGGAACCCACAACATCAGAAGGATATTGACCACTTGGAGCGAGTCCAGAGGAGGCCAAGAAGATGCTCAGAGGGCTGGAGCTCCTCTCCTATGATGAAAGGCTGAGAGAGTTGGGCTTGTTCAGCCTGGAGAAGAGAAGGCTCTGGGGAGACCTTATTGCAGCCTTCCAGTACCTGAAGGGGCTACAAGGAAGCTGGGGGGGACCTTTTACAAGGGCCTGTAGTGACAGGACAAGGGGGAACGGGTTTAAAATGAAAGTGGGGAGGTTTAGATTAGGTATCAGGAAGAAGTTCTTCACAGAGAGGGTGGGAAGCACTGGAACAGGTTGCCCAGAGAAGCTGTGGATGCCCCATCCCTGGAAGTGTTCAAGGCCAGGCTGGATGAGGCTCTGAGCAACCTGGTCTAGTGGAAGGTGTCCCTGCCCATGGCAGGGGGGTTGGAACTGGATGGTCTTTAAGGTCCCTTCCAACCCAAACCATTCCATGATTCTATGATCTTTGTCATTAAAGATGAATGGATTTGAGTCTGAAAGCAAACAGGGAACAGATCTGTTGAGCAAGGTATCGCCAGTTTTAGTTACTTTACAGTGACAACCTGGCACGCACAGTAGTTTATTTATGGGATTCAGTGGTTAAAAGCTCTTCTCTGCTGGATGACAATTCAACAGATCTGCTACAAATCTCAGGAAGCAGGCTAATTCTGAAGTTATTCTTGAAGAGTTTTTTGTATTATTTAGCTTCACTAAAAACTCCCAAAGACGGTATTCAAGATTAAAGAAAAGAAAAAAGGTAATTCACCGAGTTTTGTACCTGAGACAGGGCATGGAGGAAATGCCAGGTGTAACTCTCAGCAGTGTAAAGTTGACGCTTATACTTAAGATTAAGTTACACATTTTGGCCAGAGCTGCAGAATCCCTCATCCCCAGCCAAATGAGGTTTTCATTATGCTTCAGAATTTTCCACATAAATCTTCCATTGCCCACTCCTCCGCGGAAAGCCGGGACGCTCCAGGCGATAGAGCAGGGGTTGTATCATATCAAACAGACCAGACATAACTGCTGTAGCTGTCTGAGCTTCACACCTCTGAGACACGATCAAGTACAGCTGTCCACAAAATAAGCAGCCAGGGCTGCTCCAAAGCCTACACTGCTCTTGTGTGTGGTGGAACAAAGACTTATTAAGCCAAAACACTATGGCTACAGCAAACCCACAATAGAAGAAAAGCCTAAGGGGGAAAAATAGTATTTCTCTAGTCACCTTTTCTAAAATAATGCCTCTTTGCCTGACTTTCTGTTCAGCAAAGTGAGGTATACACACTTTTCCTAAGTCTTTTTAGCAACAAACCCTGCTACAGATGATTCCATCACTACAGACGGCAGCACTCTGCTTTTCACCAGCAGTGTGTTGTCCCACCTGCAGAGACACATCAGAAGCCAGCCATGTTGTAACCCCCGTGTTAGAAGCAGAGGCAGTAGAGCAGGAATACTATGACTGGACCGGCAGAGGAAGTCCCATACCCCGAGGAAGCAGATGGAGACGCTGCTGTGTGAACGGGATCTCACAGCAAGCCTCCACTGTATAACTGAACTCACCATGTGGCACCACAGCTAGGGGAAAAAAGCGGACAATACTGTATCAACCTGAACTAAACAATGACTCCTTATCTTGCTGTAAGAATAACGGTCCCTTGGCATGCTTGTTTCTGACCGCAAAGGGAAGAAAAACATTATTCTTACCATGGATACTTTTTTTAGTGTAGCTCCCGCCCTTAGCACAGAGCAAGATTACTTTTACAGAGAGTGCTGAAATGCCCGAAACAACTCCACTGTATTCCAGTAAGTCATCCTGTTTGGTTTTTAAAGATACTGAGTAGATGAAAGAAAACCTGAAATATCCAGGTTTCATCGAAGGCTGGGAAAAAATCCACCAAAAAAATCCAAACCGTCAAATAACCTTATTTAAATGCTAATTTTTGAATGACAAACTATGACAGCACTGCCTTTAGTAGCAGAGAATGAAGCTTAATAATGCAGACATCCACCCCAATAATTTGATCTCGCCCAAAATACTAACTCAGTGCAACACAGCGATTCAAATAACTCTTCAAAAAATAAGAGCACAAAGTAATTGCACCCACAGTGTCTGTACACTGCTTTTCTGTCATCTTGCCCACAAGGGAGGGGACGTTACCGTCAGTTCTTGGCAAGGGGAAGCACTGCTGGCACGTCTCAAACACGTAATGGAGAAACATACCCTGCCATCTGCTTTTGCATCTTTGTTGAAATTCTTTTATTCACTGATTTGATATTGTAGTTTTAGTCAGACCCTTAATTTTTAAGTTAAAAGGTTAATGGAGAGGGTGGTGAGGCACTGGAACAGGTTGCCCAGAGCAGCTGTGGATGCCCCATCCCTGGAAGTGTTCAAGGCCAGGCTGGATGAGGCTTTGAGCAACCTGGTCTAGTGGAAGGTGTCCCTGACCATGGCAGGGGGGTTGGAACTAGATGGTCTTTAAGGTCCCTTCCATCCCAAACCATTCTATGATTCTAATATCTATCAAGATCAATTTTTTATTTGAAAGTCTGTGGCCTGGCTAAAACGCAGGACAGAGCTAAGGTCTACTCTGACCGCTGGCAAAGTAACGTATGCAGTTATAGAGAAACACTTGGTGAAATAAAACTGTAA